AAAATAAGGTTAGATTTGGCTCTGATCTTGATACTAATTGGAGAGTGAATGCCATGAATAAATCTAAAGTGTGGAAGTTAAAAGATTCAACCTCCAACTTTAATCTATATGCCCGTGAATAAGTTCTTTCGTTTGCATAGGATATTGTCATTGTGGTCTTATTAGGCTAGTCTGGCTGAGAGAAACTGTATCATTGTTTGTAATACGCATATACTTAATATAACATATCTCGTAAATAATTATGCGTGATGTTCGCAACACCAATATCAAGCATTCATGAGAAACTAAAAGAAAGAGCGTATCTACCGGTTGAATCATCAGCCATGTCACCAAATGCAGCATATATGCTGCTCTTTATCCTGACAGGTCTTCCAACCAAAACTCTGCGGACTGTCATAGCCAAATATTTCCTACAGTAATGTAGTGACCCCAAGGAACTCAAGTAAGAAGCTTGTCGATTGAAATCATCAAAAGAAAACTAAGTTAAAAAGGGTTTGGAGAAGCAAATGCCATTATGCGTATTACCTATCCGTATGAGATAAAAAGCTCAACTTCAGCTTAATGAACCCATTAGAAATCAAGGAGGAAGAACCAACAGAGAAATTAGAACCTCTTGCTCGTGCCGCATAGCAGGATATCTTTTGGGAATTAAACGTTAAACCAGATATAGACATCTTAGACTACATAAATGAGCACAAAATGAAAAAAAACTCAGGTTTTAGCTTTACTTGAATTTAGGAAGGGGAGGGGTAGGGGTGGATTTTTATTTTACAAATTACATAACGATGACATCATCATAGCGGTTAAAGATACCTCCTTTGTGTTTGGAGAGTTCAGCCTCAGCCGCCATTGACTATTCGGAGGCTATATCTTTAAACCCTATATCATTTAGATCAAACATGAGCTATAAATTGCAATGGAAGCCCAAATTCCTTTTTCTATATTATTAGAATGCCCAAACATCTATTTTATATATGCAAATCACCAACTCAAAATTATTTACCAAAATCAGTGAATTTCCTCCTTGGCAAGTGCAGAAACTCCGCATAATCCCCTCCCCGACCCTCCGTCTTGTGCAGCTAAAGCACCAACGACCTACTCATCACAATCCCTTCACAACACCAAAAATCAAAATCAGAAAAAGAAAAATTACAATCGTGCCATCAAGAAGCATCAAAATCGAAAGAAACACTAACC